CTTCCATCTGAAATTTCCATATTGATATAAAATAACTAATAAAACTACATTAATACTGAAGACAGAACTCATAAAAAGTAATACAGAAAAAAGGTAAACTGAAGATTGAAAGGTAGAAAAAACATTTAAAGAAAAAATCTTTGTATGTAACAAACAAATGGATGCCAGACAAGACTCTGGGGGACACCCTAAACTACAGTAGTGGCCAAAATTGTGGAAACCTTTTGGGAAAAGTGTATTTTTGAGGTTTGATGGCTAATAACACCACTTCTTTTGGAGTTTCAGGAAAGTCATATTCCACTGCTGGAATGGCCTGGGAATAGCCCAGACTTTAACCCAATTGAAAATCTATGGAGCCGGCTAAAGAAACTTGTTAGTCAGAAGCGGCCCAGCAATAAAACCCAGTTAATAGAAGCAATCATTCAATCTTGGTTTCACATTATAACAGCTGCAGAACTAAAAGGCTTGGTTCACTCCATGGGAAGACATTGTAAGGCTGTAATTCATGCTAAAGGTGACCCAACTAAGTATTAACTGACATGGTGATAATTTTTGTATATCACATTTTTTCTATGGTGATAATTTTTGTATATTTTCTATGTGTTTCATTTTTCTTCTTTATACTGTAACTGCTATTCTAATAGCAAATCCTTCATAAAAGTTATTGCATTACAGTCTTGATTAAATTATCTTTCCATTTATATATAATTTTATGGTACTACTCCCTCCCAAAAGTGGTGTTATTAGCTAGTTTTACAAAATACACTTTTCCCAAAAGGTTTCCACAATTTTGGCCACTACTGTACAATGCACTCTTCTCCCTAGTTTCTCATCAAGCAATGTGGCAAACATTTCAGATTGTTAAACCTTTTAATGTCTACAAAACCACAATAACTTTACCAAATACCTTGTGAATTATCCATATAGACCAGGTTTCAGATAATTATCATACTTCAAAACAGACAGTTTCATCAATCAGCACTCTTGAAAGATTTAATAAGGTATCCTAATTTTGATAAATTGAAACTGAGTACGTGTAGTACTTTCAAATACAAGACAGCTGTTTTTTTTCTTCTTACCATATTCAGTATTGAGTCCCCAAAGTTTAACTTTGTTGGCTTCATACTGAGCTTTCTTTTTCAGTCGGCAAGCCCTGTGATGTTGAGAAGGAAAAGAATTGAAGGTGAGATATTGTTCCTGTTGTTCAGACCACTCGTCACACAAATAATCAGAGGTTCAAAATATTAGATGTTACCAAGCAGTACACACAGACTATAATTTCTGATTCCAGCTCTCATTTCTCCTTTAGCTAATAAAATGATTCCTCTGTGATTATTTATTTATTAAACATATTTCTATCCCATCACAATCAAGAGACTCTAAGGCATTTACATTTAGCAAATAATATAATTTAAAACATGTACAGTACAATCTTAAAAACCAACTGTCATAAATAGAAATAAAAAATGACATTAAAACAAATACTATAAAAACAATACTATAAAAATTAAAAAAAAAACAAAATTGATAACAACTTATCATCAGTAATACATTTAAAAGTAAAGCATTTTAGCTATACACAGCAGGCAATTATGATCAGAGACTCTTCTAATGTGCTATGAGAGGTGTGAGGCAAGAGAGTAAGGGAGAATTTTAACTAAGGAAGTACGGAAGAATTTAATGCCCTCAGTCACCATGAGTTGGGCTGCCATATACATTTGTTAAATAAATTTGCATATGATTAGACTTAACCAAGCCATCAGATACAAAGCTGTCACTTGCAGAATAACTTTTCCTTTTTCAATATATCAGTCTACAAATGCTTGTCAATAGGAATATAATAATAATTTATCAAATTTGTATACTACCCAATACTTAACTACCCAACTCTCGGTGGCTCATAACTATCAATATATATATATATTATATACATGCATGTATACAACCCAAGCATACAAACACAAAACATAAACAGGGAACAAACAGAATTGCTAATGCTATATTTATTCAGGAAATTCTTACCTAGAGGCAAGTTTATTTTTTTCTTTCCTTGATCTTGGTCTTGCTGTTAAGGGAAGTTCACTGACAGGGGTCAAATCGCTAATTACTTTATTCAGTTTCCTAAGTTCATTTCCAATTTGTAGCAGTTTTTTAGGGTTAGGTGTCAGATCTTCTACATCAGTCCTTCGTGACTTTTTAACAGCATATTTTCCTGTTTAAATATATACAATCATAATAGGTTGCAAATTTTCATTCAATTTGAATATACACATTTAAATTACAATGCTTATTGTACATTGGTGTTTATTTGCCAGCACTGTATCTCATATAATACAACTAAGAAGTCTATGTGAACTTTAAACAACTTACAAAACATGTTAGAAGTAATACTAGGCAAAAATAAATAAATACCATGCTGCAGGTGCACAACGTATAGTTAGAAAATCAGTAATACATCTGTTTATTTTAGATTATTTCACATTTAATTTAAAGCATTTTTGATAAATGTTGATGTAACTAATGACAATTGCTCTAACCAATAACATAAAAAGTATCATTTTCATTTCTCTCACCAAGTTTAATGTCTACAAATGCAGACCATTACAAGTAGTCCTTGACTTACAACCTTTCATTTAATGACCGTTCGAAGTTGTAACAGCACTGAAAAAAGTGACTTATCACCCCTTTTTCACACTTACAACTATTGCAGCATCCCCATGGTCACACGATCAAAATTCAGACCCTTGGCAATTGGTTCATATTTACAATGGTTGCTGTGTCCTGGGGTTGCATGTTCACTTTTAGCAATCTTCTGATAAGCAAAATCAATGGGGAAGACAGATTCACTTTACCAACCATGTTACTAACGTAACAAATGCGATGATTTACTTAACAAGTGTGGCAAGAAACATTGTAACATGGATAAAACTCACTTAACAACTGTCTCAGTTAGCAACAGAAAGTTTGGGCTTGATTATAGTTATAAATTAAGGACTACTCATAATGCATTTCCTGGAAAGAGGAAGATGAAAACAAATTTTGCCGAAGTGTCACAAATGATACACAAACTAGGAAAGAAATGTTTCTAAGTTGCAAAAGCAAATTGTTTTATGACTCCTTCCTTCTCCTACAATTACTTCAATAAATTAATGGAATGGTGAATAAAAGTTGCATATTTTATTTAAAAGAAAGTTATGGTGAGGAAATTTTAGAATACTACCAACATATAGTCATGCACATTTCAATACCTCCAAAACCCAACACAACGTTAACCCAACACATATTAAACAGGTTTGAAATGCCTATACACCTTATTTAAATGATACAGGAAATTCTGACAAAACTTTAAGAAGTGTGCCATGCACCTATACACAGCAGCTCTTACCATGATGTAATCCGTTCTTCTGATACATGTTGCTTGGTAAGGTTTCTCGATTCCACTCAGAAGGCCTTAACATTCTCTCCTGCTGTGATGGCGTCAATTGTTCACTATATTCCCAGAAGTATCTCCGCTTGCCTCTTTTTCGACAAGATATTGCAGACATTTCTTTCAAATCTTCTACAGAATCATTTTCAAAACCTAAACATTTATAAAGTTGTACTTTTATCCAGAGCAAATGGATCAGAGATAGGTAGAAGAGAGTATATCAAAAGTAAGGGTAAAGGGAAAATGAGACTTTAAACTTTGACAATTTCTGGCAGTGTTCAATTTTTTTCTCCCAATTGCCGACAGAGAATTTATCAGATGACTAATGGACAAAATTGGGATGATGGCATAGGTCTTTTCCAGAGCATCTATAAACCATTTTGTTCTTATGCAGACCTGGAAGTTCTTTACCGGATTGTCTCCTCAACTAATGGTCTCTTCAAATCAGCATTCTACCTCTTTGATTTTAGAAAGTCAAAATGATCACTGATTTATTACAGATATAGAGTGCATAATCAGATACAGATAAAAGTATGCATTAGAGTTACAGAGTAATATTATATTACATTATATGCATATATATTTTTAGCTTCCATATTATGCTTTAAACCAGCTGTCCCCAACCTTTCTGGCTCTAAGGACCAATTTTTTGGAAGACAAATTGTCTTCCATGGACTGGAGGGGGGCGGGATAGCTTCACATATGCAACCTAGATCCTTCGCATGTGCAGATGAAGCTTCACTCGCCTGCTCACTGCTTGCGCAGCCTGGTTCCCAACAGGCTGTGGACTGGTACCAATCCACGGATTGGGGGTTGGCAACCACTACTTTAAACAAAGAGTGAAATATTACTATTCCAAATCATCCTAAATAGGCATTTTTCTAATCTCATATTAAAATAGGCACCTGGCTTCCCAGACCAGATATGATTTTTTTCCCACAGAAGTCATTTGTACTTGTGTCTGTTTATGCTCATAGGAAACAAATGTTAAGATAGAATGTTAGATAGATACACCCATGAATTGTTTATATTAGGCTATGCAATGGAAAGAATAAAACATCACTTGATGGACAACAAGAAGCAGTGGCATTTATTCAGTAGAATGATCAACACTATTTCCGGAAAAACTTTTATATAGATCATGCAAAAAAACCTACGCCTCTAAATGGATGCTTGACAGGCTGTTATATATATTGTTGATGATTTACAGCTTATCTTAAAAGCAACCTACACTGCTCAGGGCCTCCCTCTTTGAGGGAGGTGGGTGGTTTAGAAATATGAAATATAAACAAACAAACCTCATCAGTGTTGTATAAGACATTAAATTACAATACTACACTGTTGCAGTCTAGACTGTGTTTCTTTTGGTTACATTAAGCAAGAAGTTATTTGGCTAAAAATTCATTTTCAGTTTGAGAATGTGTAATGCTTTTAAGAACATCAAGCAACACCAAGAAGAGCGGTTTAATAGTTTGTATCTAGATCACATGAGTTTAATTACCTGGTTCAGAAAATGTATCACTGATGTCATCATCTTTATCGTCCTCATAATCCTCCTCTTCATCATTTTCAGATAGTTCGTGCTCACTTCCAAAGCCTTCATCGTGATCTTCATCTTCCACCTCTTCCTCATCATCTTCATCCTCATCAGGATCAGCTGCGCCTGCATGATCAGCCGAGCCATCACTGACAAAAAGAGAATAATTATGCTCTTCTTTTTTCTGTGAAGGGTCTGACACTGAGGTGCTAGCAGAGAGGTTGCTCTTCTCAGCAATAAGTCCTGGAGCTTCCTGGGGTGGCGTGAGGAGCAGAGCCTGAGTCTCTTTGAAAGGCAATACAGGAGCACTGTGATTCTGAAGGGGGTCAATTCCTTTCTGCTCTTGTCTCTTTGCTACAGCTCCACAGTAGCAGGTGTTTTCTTTTGCAGCATCAGCATTTGCCTGGCTCAGAGCGGACCTGTTCTGGTGCACTGGATTTATCTTCACTTTTGCCTTTTTAACATAATCCTTACATTCAATGTGAATATTCACTTTCTCATTATTGTACATATTGGTCTTAACCATGATTTGTGTGCTTGAATTGGCCTTGCTTGCTTTCTGAGCGAACTCAGATAAAGGTGCTTCAGCCTGAGCAGTTTTTGATGAACAAACTGGGGCGGCTGCTCTTGTAATTTTCTTGGTTGGCAGAGACGTTAATTGGGTTTGTTTTGCATTGAACAGCAACTCTGAATAGCATAGTGGATCTGAGACAGGCTGAGAGTCCTCACTGTTGAGCTGAGCCAGAGTTGGAGTTTTACTTATTACCTCTTCATCTTGATACGGGCTTGAAAAATCATCAAGACCTAAATAGTCTACCTCTTTTGTTCCCCAAATGTCACAGCTGGTTAATTTTGTATACTTTGTTAAATCTTCACAGTAAGTATCCCACTGATCCCAATTAGCAGGGAAAGACATTTCAGTATCCAAAATCTCAGTAAGAGTCTCTAAGTTCTCAAATTCTTTACAGTCCTCTACAGAAAGGAGATTGTCCCTGGAACTCTGTTGGCAATCCATTCCTCTGTCCTATTAAAGTAAATAGACATAAGCATATCAATAACAGTTAATTCATTTTCTATCCAGATTCTTACCCCATCAGCCAGCTAAGACCCCAAAAAATTAATAATTAATATCAGGTGCATCTTGAAGGACATATTATATAAAGCATGTTAAAGCAGTAATCCTAAAGTAAGTTGCATTGAATCCAGTGGGTTTACCAAATGATCATACAATCCTATGCTGTGTATTGGTTCTGAACATTTTGGGAGTTTGGAGAGTCAATGATTCCTATGCTTATCTCAGTGCTTACCCTGCCAATAGGAACACCCCATCAGTTCTAGTATCTTATAGACTATTCCTTTCTTTAAAACTCAAGAAGACATGGTCCATGACACTGAATGAATCAGAACAAGAGACAAAGTGGTAAGAAGTCCATTCTTTCTCTAATTAATCCCATAACATTCAGATTCTGAAGTGCTTTATTTTAATTATATATTAAATGTATTAGAATATGTTTAAAATGGGCATCATCCCAAATGATCAAAAGTCTGAATTAATCTTGGAACCAGGAAAGACCACAAGTTTGGAACTATGTGTTTTAGAAAAAACTGAATAAAAGCATGTATGATATAATTTAAAAATGTACACATGACAGAGGTAACAGATAAGGCTTTTGGTCTGATCCAAAGGAATCTTCTCATGAATTTTTAGTATCCACCATATAAAAGTCTAATACACATACATACATTTACTCACTCACAGATACACACATATTTTATATCACCCCCATTATAATACAGCTCAAACACGTAAAAAAAGTCAGAATTAGAACAGTTTTTACAGAAGTATAAAAATCAAGTTATATGATATACGTATTACTATTTCAAAGGGTAGCTTCACCTAAATTTGTTTAGGAACAAGAAATATGCTTCATGCAATTATAGACAAATGAATGCAGCTTACCAATTCATACATGAAATCTGGGTCAGAATTATTAGCCAGGAGATCTGTGCTGATCAGAGTCTGTTCCGAAAACATGTGGCTTTGAAAGTCATCTCCAAATGGAGGGTCCATTCCACTCACACTGGGCTATAATAAATTAATATTAGTTTGGAACTTAATACATCTCTATTTTATTATAAAACAAAACAAAAATATCAATCCTTCAAACACTATCTTTTCCCTTTTTTTCATTCTTACAATGCATTAAGAATAAACATTTGAACTTAACAACCTTTTAGTATTTTCTACATATATGGTATTATGATTCTGGCTGACTTCATGAGATGTGCTAAGCCGATTTTGTTGAGTTTGGTTTAGCATTTTTCTGAACCCATCATTATTTTTGTCTGTGAATCCAGCTACTGTCATTTATTCAATAAAAATGATTAAAACAAACGATGGGTTTGCAGAAGGAGCGATCTCTACATCTTTCTATCCTATCTACAATATTTGAAATTAAAAGGACCCAGTTTGTGGGGGCAATAAGCTGACTTTGTATAAAATATACAAAAGAATGAAGGCTATTGCTTAACGCATTGTAAGCCGCCCTGAGTCTCCGGAGAAGGGCGGCATATAAATCAAATAAAAAAAAAAATAAAAAAAAATGTGTACTGTAGCCATCTAAACTTCTTACTTTTATTGGTAATAAAAATTATCTTTTCATAATGTAATGGTCAGAAGAGATAGCAAGTTCTACATGCCTTCTTGCTTGTTCTACTTTGGAGTTCTTTCCCAAGAACATATATTCCTGTTTTAAGCAATCAACCAAAGAATATTGTTTTTTGGAAGAATAATGATACTATACTGGTAGATATCAAATTAGATACAATTCTTTTAAGCGGTTATTTTGCTTTTGAAACAGTATTAAAATTGCTTCAATAAGTGTATTGGGCATTTACCTGAGGCATTTCCAGGCCCAGATCCTCCAAATTCAATTCCAACTTTTTTGTTTTTCTTGCTTGCAAATTCTGTTCCAGCTTTTTTTCCGGGTTAATAGGCAGCATATAACTCATACAAAGCGAGTTGCAGATTTTTTGCTAGGAAAATGGTTACTTTGATTACTTGAAATATTTCTTTCTCTGGGGAATTTGTGCCTGAAATGAAAAGAAAACCATTAAGTGATTTTACATTAAATGCATGCTTAGTATCTTAGTCCTCATTTTTTGCTGCAATTATTTTTACACGCATCTCTACATTCTTTCTCTTCATCCTATCTTTTCATACTTTCTATTAACATAATTGCACAGATTTCAGAGGTAATTTGTAAAACAATTCTGTTCCAAGCAGCTTCTATATAATCTTATATCCACTGGGATTGTGTTATGAGATTAACCTAATCAAATACTTTTCCACATAGGACTTGTACTTTCTATTCCTCCAGTTTTTCCATTTTCATTCTCTTTCACATTTTCTCTTTTTATCTATTGTCATATCTGAGTTATGTTTGGAAACAAAGAAATGGTCTGTGCAGCTGTTTAATATATGTTTCCTTCATCTAGCTCTGCTCTAAAACATAGTTTTGTATTCAGAACATTTGCAATGACTGTTTCTCAATTGTTTTCAAAGACAGCCCCACACTGTATGTAAACTGAACAATGTGTTACCAGGATATGGAATTGGTCCAGGAATCCTTATTTCAATATTCTAATTAGTATCAAAGTACAACCAGAGCATGGAACTGCTTCAGCCTAATGTTAATATTCAGATGAAGTATTTTAACATGGGCCAAATGTTTCTGCTTCTATAGTAATTGGTACTTTCTATGCTATGTCACAAGAAAGTAGATGGTCCTATGGATTCAGAAGAATTCATATTCATACACAAGAGAAGTTGCCTCTTATGACTTTACAGAGGCAACTATTTTGCTGATGACTGGCTATTTTGTCATTATGAAAGACAATATTTTAGTCCTACTTGTATAATTATTCCTAATATAATAGAATTACTTTTGGGCACATTATCCTAAATCATAACAGCATACCCATCTCTTTTTATAATATATAAAGCTATTTTTTCAAATGTAGGAAAACTTATACTTCCAAATGTAATTCAAATAAAATATGAAAATGATATTATGCATATCTTACGAGATCACCTTCTGCTACCGATAGCCTCCCACCGGCCAGTACGCTCCCAGAGAGGGACTCCTCAGGGTGCCGTCGGTCAAACAATGTCGACTGGTGACCCCCAGGGGGAGAGCCTTCTCTGTGGGGGCATCCGTCCTCTGGAATGAATTGCCCCGGGAGATACGGATGATCCCTGACCTACTCACCTTTTGCCGTGCCCTCAAGACGTTATTGTTCCATCAAGCTGGGCTGGCCTAAACATTAATTTTGATGGGTTGCTTTTATCTTATTTTTTAATGATTCAAATTATTGAATATGTTTTTAAATTGCTTTTAAATTTTATATATGTATTTGTTTTATTTTTGGGCTGTGCACCGCCCTGAGTCCTTCGGGAGAAGGGCGGTATAAAAATTAGATTAAATAAATAAATATCAAATTTTCAAACATTGAATAGTTTCCATCCCAGTCTGTATTTGATTATGCAGAAATAAGTGATTTATCTGCTGCTATTATTTAATGTTTTATTACTCCTGATTTCAACTTCATTTGTCAATGTTTTTAATGTCCCATGTTATGATTATGGTGTTTTTGTGAAGCCTTTATTGTTCTACTACTGCTTATTATTGAAAAAAAATTATTTCATGGTATAAAATCCCTTAAAATAAGCAAATAAAAATTAAGCATATTAAACAGGGTGCCTAATTTACATACTAGGAACAATTTTATATAACAATTCAGTGAAACATTAGCAGGTTAAGATATACCAGAATAATGAAACAAAACAAATCCTAATAACTGTTATTTCTAATAATTTTTACCCTAAGGATCAGACTTTTTGTAAAGAATTAAACTTTCTTAGAATTTCTGCAACTGCATATACTGATGTAGATACGAATTATCAACACTGAAAAAGTTCTTAATCACAAGGATCCAGTTCAGTTAACTCAGCAGCACTACCAAGGAAGTGTATGTATTACATGTACTTATTTATTTATAGATTAGTAATTAACACAGATTTTCCAGCTGTAGATTTGGTTTGATTTGATTCCACAAAGATCCGTTTATATTTGGTTCCAAAAAGATCCTTTGAAACACAAGGAAGACCAAATACAGCCACTGTCAGCCATTCAGTCCTATCCAACCCTTAGTCACTCTATGGATCTGCACTCTCCATGCCCCTCTGTCTTGCACTATCTCCTTCAGATCTGCTATGGTCATCCCAGTGTCATCCTTTATAGTGTTCAGCCAGCGGGTACTAAGGTGGCCCCTTCTCCTGCCGCAGATCTCTCCCAGCATGATTGACTTTTCAAATGAGTCAGCTCTCATGACATGACCAAAGTATAACAGCAGCCTTTGTTTGGCAATCTTGACTTCAAATGATATTTTTGGGGAGTTTGAGTCTAGATTTCTTTGTTATTTTTGCAGTCAATGGGATGTGTAAAATAGTTGCCTCTAGCACCACAGCTCAAAGGTGTCC